ACACACTGTGTGCCCACTGCACATCTTAATTTTAAAAAGGAAGACACTTTTGATGTCCTCTCTATGCCCTTTCCCATTGCTTCCCTGTACTCTCTCCTATGAGAAGAGTTGCAGCTTGATTTTGTAAACATTTTCTTGCTTTATCTTTTAGTTTTGCCACAATATGTATTTATCCCCAAGCATATTGTGTTTGTGTTTTTTTGTTGTTTTTTTTTTTATTTCCTGTAATGTGCTTTTTCATTTTACAATGTCATTTGAGGTGGAGCCATAATAGTGCAGGTAACTATATTCAGATATTTTCACTTCTGTATATATTTCACTGTATAAATAACAGCTATTATTCATTGAGGGGCATTTGAATTCTCACTTTTTTGTTTTTGTTTTTTGCTATTACACTCATTGATGGCTATAAATCTTGAATCTGTCTCTTGTAGTACATATATTTAGAACTTTTTCCAGGGTATATCCAGGAGTAAGCTTCATATATAAGATATATATGAAAGTAAGTAAAAAAAATATTGTTATAAAATCACTTTTGTTGTTGTTAAGTGCCATTGAGTCTGTTTTGACTCATAATGACTCTGTATAGGGTTTCTGAGGAGCGTCTAATGGGTTTGAATCACCAATAATATGGTTCACAGTCCAGTGTTTATCCTGTAGGACCACACAAAATCATAGAAGCCTTTATTAAACAAAAATATCAAAATGTGAAGTTACTGTTTCTCAGCATATCCTCCATCTAGGCCTACACACTTCTTAGAGTGGTATTTCCTAATCCTTTCTAATCCTTCCTTGAAAGTTTGGACTGTGTGAAAGTTGAACAATGAATAAAGAAGACCATATAATAATCGATGCATTTGAATTATGATGTTGGAGAAGAATATTAAAAGTACCATGGACTGTCAGAAGAACAAAAAAATCTGTCTTGGAAGAAGAACAACTAGAATTCTCCTTAGAAGTAAGGATAACAAGACTTCATCTCTTATAATTCAGACATATTATCAAGAAAGGCCAGTCCCTGGAGAAGGAAATCATGCTTGTTAAAGTGGAAGCTCAGAAAAAAAAGAGGAAGACCCCCAACAAGATGGATTGGCATAATGACAGCAGCAATGGGCTCAAGTATAACAACATTTGTGAGGATGGTACAGGACCGGGCAGTGTTTCATTCTGTTGAGCATAGAATCTTTATGAATTGAAACTGACTAGACAGCACCTGTCAACAACAACAGCTCTTCCTTAAAGAATCCTGTACTCTTTGATTTACATCATGTCAAAGTGGTAGTTAGGCATAATCAAGAGACTCAGATTGTGTTCCTTTTAAATATTCTTTGAGTTTGGGGAGCAAAAAGGAGTCTAAAGGGATAAGACAAAGGTAAG